CAACACAGCCTTAGAATTCCCCATCTGCTCCCACTCTCCCACACAGACATGTGTCTCTCTTCACATCCAAACAGGAACTACAGCACCTGGAAGAGGAAAGGGAGTTCACTGCCTTCAAGAAGAGATTGCCACTGTACCACCACCACTTGTGTTGGTTTGCTGTAAGTCTAGAAAGCCAACAAGGTGCTCAATTTCCAGTATAATATCAAAAATGCTTATTTTGATTGATCTCCTTTCTTCAGTTGAAAAGCAGCTTTTATTTAACATATTTAAGTCTTTTCACACTAAGATTCTGAAGGCTAATTTGAGCCTGTTAATCTTTTTCTTGGTAACCCATAGAAAAGCACAGCTGCACTACTAAAAACATAGTGTTTATCCATGATCCCTGGGTCTGGGCAGCCTGCAGTGTTCCAAAGGTCAAAGTTTAAACCAGACATGCCAGTCCTGCCTAATTCCTTGTGTTTAAGCACATGGTGCCACAAAATCCATACTTGCTGCTGCTAAATACTTCTGCTGAGCTTCAGCCTGGGTTCATGTGAGTGTGGAGCCTTCCTGAACTGCAGCTCGAACAGAAAGGTATGTCCTGGCAACCTGATAACCATGAGGGAAGGTAGGACAGACTGAGTCAGTCAGTTGTAATGAAACAGTCCTCTGGTTACTTAGTCATTCCTTTTAAATTAAAGTAAATAATGTTAAGGATTTTCTTTTTTTTAAAGAAATATTTTTGTAAATGAAGGTTTCACCCCTCCTTTTTTTTTTTTCATTGCCTATGTGGGAAAACTAACACATTTGTATAAGGATAAACTAGGAAGTCTGTGGTTTCCAGCATGCACATTTTGAATAATATTTATACAGACTATTATTTAATGGGCCATATAAATATTTATCATATGCTGCAGCCCTTTGATCATAAATGCTTGTTTGAAAAGCCATTCTGTCCCTGCTGCGATTTGCAGAGAAAGAGACCATTGCTGTTTTAGTGCTTGGAGGGAATTTTGGCTTCTTGTCCTGACTTAGCAGTTACAGTCACGGACTAACACAGTCAAGCTGGACATGGCTTTCAATTATTATTTCTCTGTCCCTTTCTCTTTGCAAATTCAAACAATAAGTTGTCAATATGAGGCCCTAATTCTGCAATGGACAGGCAAGGCTGTATTGAGGTTCTGGAGGCCTTTTGCTTGGCTGCAAGGAGCTGGACTTCCTGAGTTAGATACTGCAGGGGTTTAGAAGATACTATCTCTCCTGCTTTCCATAAACATGCATCAAGTATTTTGGTGTCTTGTTAGGAAATTTACACCTGAGGAATTGACCTGTCTGACTGGACCTTTAGGATGTTTTGGTCACTGTTTTCCTCATGACTGTGTTGCCTGCAGAAGTTGGATGCTAAGAATCCAGGGGATACAAAATCCAAACCGAAGTTTTCTTTGCACAACAAAGCTTTCCTTGCACATGCCAGAGAACGTTGGTGTACAGATTCCAAAGCAAGAAGTTTGTGCTGGGACCTTCTGCTACCTCTGAACTCCATTAAAGGGTTTCTTCATTCCTGATTTGGAGCGTCCTCTTGTACCAAAACAGAATGACAACATTCCTCTTTCAATTCTTGTTAAAGTACTTTGGCTAAATATTTCCCTTGAGTTCCTAGGTCCTTAAGAAATCCCTTTGGGCAGAGTCTGTAATTGGTGACACTTATGACCTAGAGATGGCAGTGCTTTTTGTGGCTGTGGTTGATAAGTAGGTGGCATACCAAGTGATTGGTATTCCAGAAAAACCCTTGGCATCAAACAATGTTTTTGCAAGCAGATCAGATCCTATTGCAGGGACATTTTGAACAGCCTCAGTAACTTTGTGCTTGCTGTGCTTGAAAACAGGATTAATATTTATTTTAGCCTTTTTCCCCCTGAGATATTGAAGTATTGCTTTGTAAATCTAGGTGAGCTTTACTTAGAGAAATACCAGTTAAATGGGTTTGTGGTTGTTGTGTTTGGACTTTGTCACTTAACCCTTTCCTACATCCATTGGTTTCCAGCCATAAACCAGTGGATGTGCATAGGCTGATGTGTAGTTCTGGAGCATATAAACCAGCTCTGCTTCCTGCCCAGTCACTCACACATGCACATCCTGGTTGCTTAGTAAGGAAAAAAAGGAAAGTAAACATTACATGGGCAGATTGGGTTCCAGGTTTCAAATGTTTGTGGGAAGAATCCAATGCAAAGCCATAATTTTAAGTGCTGAGTAGGAGGTACTGTGAGCTTAATTCTCTAACATCTGTTAAGCTTGTTCTCTAAGTAGCAAAAACACATTAATGAGCTAAAATCAAGGCTGCCTTACAAGGAAGAGAAATTTAGGGCAGTATTGTGTGTGTGAGCAGGAGACAGGATGTCAGATACTCCTTTTGCTATCTGTATTTTGTGAAAAGCAAGTAAGAAAGATTTGCCTGTGTTTAAAAAAAAAAAAAAGAATCTGGTTTGCAGCTTGTGGTTTATTCTCAACTTTTTATGAGTCAGCAGCTAAGGCAGTGCCGAAATAGGGGGTAAAACAGGGAAATTTGGGAGATAGTATCAGGAACAGCCTTATGCAATGTTTTTAGAGTAACATCTCTCACAAGTGGCAGCACCTGCAGCCAGCCTTTTGAGCCAGCCTTTGAGGAGACGGAGTGCAGAGCTAAGAAGTGAACATCATCTGTTGAAAAGAATGTCCTAAAACTGCTTTTCCAGCCGAGGGCTCGGAGGGAGATGCCGAGTGCTGTAAGTCTCCCCAGCTGACTGATGTAGTATTAATCACTGATAGCAGGAGGGTTGTCCTCTCAGTGGCAGAGGATTTAGCTTGCATTAGTCTGACCAGGTCACAGAGCCAGGGCCAAGAAAATAAAGTGAGCTTTCTTGCCAATATTCCTAGGTGTCGGACTCATAGCACAGCATTATTTTTAGCTGATTGCTCATCGCTGGAACAGATGACCTTGTTAATGAGATTAGTGTGTGTTGCACCTAATCTGCTGGGCAGAACTAGCATGCTGGGAGGGAGGAGTTAGGATTTCCATCAGGACTGCAATATGCTCTGTAGCTCTGAGTTTTTTCTCATATCTGACATTATCAGAAGCTGATGATGTGTGCAACTTGCTCTCATGATTCTGCCCTGGTGTGTGCAGAACGCAGCACGATAACTGCTGTGCTTTGTACCAGCTGCTTAGGAGCTTTAGTGAGGGACAGAACTCCCTCATGCTAATGCTGTCCAAGCAAAGAACAAAAAATTGTCCCTGGACCCAGCAGTGAGGTCTAAGCATGAAATGTCAAATTGAGGCAGGACAAAGGGATTGTGTGATAACAGATCTCACGGACTGACCATGTTTCTATGAGCAATTTCATTGGTTGGATGATGGGAAGCCTCAGTAGGTTTCTTTTGCTTGTGCCATTCTCAGTGCCAATGAAACTTTGTCCTAATCCTGCTGTTGCACTGCTTAATTATTATCCAGAATCCTGCTTGGAGTTTCCTGAGATAAGGGACTCTTTTTTTTTCTTATTTCACCTGTTACCTCTTCCCCTTAGTGATAATAGATGTGTGATAGCCATCAGCAAGCAGTGGTTACAAGCCCATGGATGTGAGCAGCCACTTACATTGTGCCATCTCTGTATTCAGATTGGCACCCAAGGATAGATCCTGACCTGCACTCAAGATCATTAGTTAAAGAAAAAAGAAGATTAATTTGAAATGTGAATATTCATATTCTGTTAAGCAGTGCCTTCCAAATATTTTCTCCCTTTGCTAATGCCCCTTCCTGTAACCACCCCATCTTCCATATCCAGTAGTAATCCAGGTCACTTCTTTGGGAGAGGTGACCTGTTTAAGTAGAGCCATTTTGATGCTTTTTAAATCCTGTGTATTCATGAAATGGTGATTGATCCATTCATTTTCTGGAGATCAGAAGCTGTGTGTCAGCTGAGTTCCACAGATGCAATAGGTACAAGCACTAAATTTGGTACTTGTCGGATGTCCCAAATACTTGTATCCGCTCTTACTTAGCATTCTCCCAGCTTGATTAAAATGTGAATGTTAACTATTAATTAAGAACAAACCGTGAGAAATTAAGGCCAGTGAATTTGTCACTGTATTAAATGTCAAATAGTTAAACTTAATGTAGTGAAATAAGCAACTCATTGTGAAGAATTAAATCAATTAACCTCACTCTGTTCTTGTAGGATGTCAGAGAGTAGGCAGAGATTTCCTGGGATGCTCTCATAACTCAACACATTTTCAGCAAGTTACTTTCTGAGCCTTTAGAATTGTGTGCATTGATGGTAGGGAGCTCTTAAAAACCTACTTTTATTATTTATTATGTATTATCCTATAGGTGATATGTACCAGGTTGTCACATAGTTATTCTAATTATCAGCATCACACCACTTTTTTGTGGGAGGGGAAACTGTTTTCAGATGCTGCAGAAATGCAGCCAGCTCACTGTCCCATTCAGCAGTGACATGCTACTCATTAGCTGGTTGGCTTGATGGGAGGCAGCATTTCCATCTGCCAGAATTCAGGATAACTCAGGAGCCTCTGGGTTGAAATTTCCCTTCTGTGTAAATCCTGAATGCTAGTATGTTTAGAACCACTCCCTTTCCTTTCCTTCCCTTCCTATCTCTGTCCCTCATTTTTTCCTTAATGTAGACATGATACTGTGTGGCCACAGCTCATTTCTGTGACTGGGAGTGCAGGAACTTTATCATTGCATGCATATTCTTATATGCAGATGTACAGTTTGCTTCTCAGGAGGTTCTGTGCTGCACAGCTTATATGGAAACATTGGAAGAAAAATGGTACTAGTGCAAGAGTTGAAAACTCTAATTAATTAAAAAATGCCAAGTGAAGGCTTGATGCAAGAGTTATCAAGCAAAGTGCCTGTACAGCATTTCTCCTTCTCTCCTGCCCCATTCAGCAGTTCTCCATCATCAGCCATTTTAGCTGCTTTTAACCCCTTTTTTTTTCCTCTTTTCCTTCAACAGGTTCTATTAAAAATGCACAGCAAGAAGCAGACTGCAGTGAAATACTATGTTGGAATTGATGTTGGCTCAGCAAGTGTTCGTGCAGCTTTGGTAGATGAGTTAGGGACAGTGGTGGCACATGCAGAGCAGCCTATCCAAATTTGGGAGCCCCAAGCAGACCACTATGAGCAATCCTCTGCAGACATATGGGCTGCCTGCTGCTCAGTCACAAAGGTAAGCAAAGGAAAGGAAAATTAAGGAGATGTAGCTCTTCAGGTTTTCAGTGTTTAAGGTCTTGGAGACCCAGTGTGTGTCACTTCCATTCAGCTCTGTGCATGCTGTGTTGCTGTATAACTTGCAACCATCCTTGGGCATCAAAGGCACCTTGAGGCTTGGGTAGCCTCACAATGTCTGTTTATTGGTGAGGAGATGAAGGCCAGAGTGAAAGAAACTTGTGCAACAACTGACAATAGAATGAAAGGCTTATCTTTGTGCTGTTAGCTCAGGGGGAGGATGTACCCGCTGCCTTCAGGTCTCACATCTGTGAGGTTTGTTTTGCTGGTGTATATTCTACCCACATAACAAATCTTTGAGGAGTCAAGGCTGCTCAGAACCTGGCAGTGCATATATTTGAAGATGTGCATTGTGCTGCACTGGAGTCACATAGGAGCATTTTTGGTAGAGAAGTTGTAATCTGGTTTGTGGATGGTTCTGACATAACATCTGTCACCTGTGATCCTCATTATGAGAGGGTATCAGTATTATAAGACCAAAGTAAATGATAAATGTTTGTGGATCATATCAAGCATAAACCCAGGTTGGAATAAACCTTACTGTAAGGGAAAATTTGTACACTCTGATCCAGGATCTGCCTGGATATGCTGATGGTAAAGGTAAATCAGTGACCTTGCCTGGCAGTGCACACGGAGGACATTTCATCTTCCCTGATAAAGCCCCAACCTGCCCCATGTTCTGAGCTTGGCTTTTTAAATATTCATGACCTGCTTGGTAATTTGCAGATGGACAGTTCACCCATTGTCTTGTTATTGATCAGCCTTTTCAAACATTCATGAGCTTGGCTCTGCAGAAATGCCCTGAGATGGAGAAGAGGAGGTGAGGGGGAAGGAAGGCAAAGAAGGGAGTGACGGGAGTGTTAGGGAGGAACAGCTTGATGTTAATGCAGAACAAGTCTTACTCTGCTTAGCTGATTTTTCTCTGTGTGAGTTGCTTTGTTCTTGCTCTGGACCTCTTTGTATGCAATTTCTTATATATAAACAATAAAGCAGTCTCTGAAACTGCAGCTTTCCAGAGCCAGACTGGCACTGGAGCAAGTCTAGTGAAAGTCTTTCCTTATAGTACTAATTAAAATAATGATATTTTTATTGTTGCTGAGAAGTGGCAATTTATTGCTGTATTATATTTTAGGTGTCTTACACCCTCACTTGGCACTTAATCTCTGTGGGTGTTGTGTTTTTTTTTCCATTGCTGCTGGAAGCCATGAAATACAGACATTTTGGGGCAGTGGTTTTGGTATTTTGTTGAAAATCTTCTATAAAGCATCTAAACTCCTGGTAGCAGGGACAAGGTGTGCATTGCTACAGGTTTTGACCAGCTTTATTTTTGGGACTCTTCAGTATTGCAAGGCAAAAAGCTGTGGCACAATATTACCGAAACGATTCCAGAAGGTTTTTGTTCCCACAGGTGGGCTTATAGTTAAATAACTGATGGAAACACTTGGCCCTAATCCTGTGTCCATGTTTCACATGCAGCTCCTCTCCAAGCTTTAAAAAATGGAGAAAATCAACATTGCTGGTTTTCTGCTACCTTTATTTCCTGGTATTTTTATGCTTCCTGCTTTTATCCAGGCCTGTGGCTAGTAAAATTGAAAAGCTATTAAAGTTTGGAAAACCAAAGAATTTTTGCCAATTTTATGTATTTTTATTAGGAGTGTTAAACAATACTGAATTAAAAACATTTTGGAATTTTAGCTTGCATTTCTAGCTCATAACTCATTTTCTGTCACTAGTTCACATGGTACCTGCATGTGTACAGATATATTTGTATTCCTGTGTGTTGTGTCTTTTCAGCAAGTTGTCTGTGGAGTGGATGTCAGCCAGATTCGAGGGGTTGGGTTTGATGCTACATGTTCCCTTGTTGTTGTGGATAAACAGTTCCAACCTTTGGCAGTCAACTGTGAAGGTAGGAGTCCAGCACAAAAATGGTGTTACTGTGTGTGTTTCTACCACTGATGGGAGGGAACTTTCCATTTCGCCCAAATGCCAAGTGATGGGGCTGACTTTGAGCAGAGAGGATAGAAAATCTTTTTTACAAGAGGATTTTTTTCCTGGTTTTACTGTTTAAATTCTGAAAAATTAAATTAGAGCTGAGAATTACTGTTTGGCTAAATGTTTGGCATCCTAAGATCAAATTAATTAATCTTGGCTCAGGGAAATTGCTTCTTAGGGAAATCTGTGGTCATTTTTCTGCATGTTTTCTCCTCCTTCAAACTTGACTGGTCATGGCTCTTACAGTGTGTGCAAATGTCCATCCACACTGGCTAAAGAAGTGCTGAAAATGTTAGTATAGTATAACTGTTTGCTCTGTCAAGATGCTGCAGGCAAGAGGTTCAGCTTGTGTGTTGTACTTCTGTCTTTATCCAGGACAGTGCTGAGCTTCAGAAACAATCTGTGACCTTTTTCTAAAACTCTGGTATTTTTATTAGTTTTTCAGTAGATGATTCAGAAGACACAAAAGGCCTGTGATGCACTTTTTAGTCAGTGAGCCCCATTGAAGATTAGGTGTTTGCTAAATCAGTAGTTAGAGACGTAATCACAATTCTGTGTATGTTCCCTTTCTATTCTCAGATGGATTTGTCATCCCCTCCCATCCTTCTCAAACACCAGCTTTGCCCCCAAAATGTCCTTCTCTAAATTTAGATGAGATTATATATTTTTCACTTAGAGAGTCTCTTACAATCTGTTCAATGCCTAATGATGTCTGGGGCTGTTTTGGGCTATTGAGGCAAATTCAGTTCTCATTTTTGATGCTCTGATATCCCCAAGAACTTGGAGTTTACACAGTGATAGTGTTAAACAACAAGACAAGGATTCACTGAATGCTGTCACACTGTTAGAGTCATGCAGTGATGAGGTTTTAGGCAGTTTCACAGCTGTATTTCAAGGCATTTTAGAAACATTGCTGTGCCTCATACTTGTGCCTTGCTTTGGACTATGTTTTCAAGCTGATGCATGAGTGGCTGTGCCATGGAGTGTACAGTGTATGTAGCCAGAGAGGAGTCTGAAGTGTCACCTGGATTACTGTTCCACCTGTCTGGCAGGTCCTCTGGCTTAATTTTGATAAGATGTTCTTTGCTTATTGTTCTCATGTGTGGTGCAAACAGGCCAAGTGCTTTTTCCTAGCACACCCGAAATAAAAGCATTTCAGTAAGTTATCCCCCTGACACTGCATTTCTGAGAGGAATTGGGGTAGCTTTCCCCATAACCATGGAAGAGGAAAGGAAATCCCTGTAGCTAGAGCTGACTAGCTGAGTTCATTTCAGTTTACCACAGAATTGCTCAGATGTTGTCCCATTTTTAGTTCTTGGTCACCAAAATATTTCTTTATATTTTTAGCTAAATATGTGAACTTTGTCAAGAAGTTTGGGTTCTTGAATGAAACAGTCTATGAGAACACAGTGTTTCAAGGTTCTTGGGTGCTCACAAGCCTGGTGGGCTGCAGTCAGCATTCTCAGTGCTTAACGTGTCTTAAAATTGGCTCAGAGGGCTAAAATGTGATTTTTAGATACCTCCTGTGGGTTATTACCACAAATAGAACTTGTGTTTTCCATGTAGAAGTGAAAGTGTGAAGCAGCTTAGAGCCTGGGAAATAATAATACTGAGGTGGGGTCAAACCAAAGCTAAAATAATCTCTTTTTCCTTCTTGCTCCCCCCAGGACAGAACCATAGGAATGTGATTATGTGGATGGACCACCGTGCAGTGAGTCAGGTCGAGCGCATCAATGCAACACAACACAGGGTTTTGAACTATGTGGGGGGAGTGATGTCTGTGGAAATGCAGCCACCTAAACTGCTGTGGATAAAGGAAGTGAGTACATTAACACTGGGGGGCAGTTTTACCAGTGGTTAATGCCTTTTGTTAATTTCTGAGAATGAGATTTCTAAAACAAAAGTCTTCAGTGTTAGCATTGAACCCCAAGGTGTGTAAAGCAAGGCCTGGCTAAAGTTGGGGTGTAAATGTGTTGAGGCTCTTTTTCCTTCTCAGTTATGTAGAAATATGTTTGATTTTATTGAAATGGAGTGTTTCCTGATAGAGCATTTCACATGCCTTTCTTATCTAAGATTAGCTACACATACAAATTTAGGTGAAGGTAATGAATGAGTCCTTGAATTATCCTAGGATATAGTTATGGAGGTGCTTTGAGCTTCAATTTGCTCTCCCATCAGTAGGAAGTAAACCATCCATGGAGGGAAGGTGCTTGGTTCATGATGTGGAGCTCAACCTCTCTCTCTTGTGTGTACATTTTATGTGTCATAGAATGACATATGGCTCTTAATAATAACTGTCAGACAAAAGGAGAGACACTTGCACTTTAGTTTTTTATAGCCTCCTCCAGCCTGGCTTTTCCATTTGGCCTCAGTGATGCTCACTGTCATTTTAACAGAGCCCAAATATAAATTACATGCTGCCAGTTTCAATCAGCCAAAGTCTCCTGTCCTTACAAACATGAGGCACCACATTGTAACAAGGTGCAGATTGGGGAGGGTCAAAGGAATTAACTGGTGGAAGCAGGTACTGACAGGTTAATGATAGTAGAGAGTAATGAATGTTGATAATGAGATAGGAATATCCATCTACTGGTTCTTCCCTTCTCAAGCTTTGAGTATCATACATTAGCCATTTTATAAAGAGTAAGAGCATGCTGTAAAAACCTTAAATGAATTCTTTGTGTTTAAAACATATTTATATTGCAAGGTGTCTGGGCTATCAGTACCTGACTGATCAGGGAAGGCAGATTATGGGGTGTCCAAGTGTGATCACCCAGAACTCTAAGTCTGCTATCACCTCAAAGCCCTCTGACATCATTTGTGTAGTGTAAAGGGGAAAGCAGGTGTTGCAGGGCTTGTCCCCTCCAGGAGCCAGTGGGGAGGGCACAGAATTCACCTGACCTTCTATGCCAGCCAGCAGCAGGGATTGCCTGGCAGAAGGGTGTTACAGAACAGGGCTTGTTCATACGTCCTTTTTCAGCTCCTGACATACCACATAAGGAGATTATTATCCTTAGGGGAGTTTTTTTTTTTTACCTCAGTATCTGCTTGCTGAGCTGCTCACACGACAGATTCTGTATCCTGAGTGGTCTAGGAATGACACATCATTAAACTGCTTACCCTGCTGAGCTCAGACACCTTAACAACATCTACAGGAGCACCTCAGCTGGTCAGAACAAAAACAGTTATCATAGTCATTTGTAATCAGGTGAGATTTGGGCATGTGGTGTTAAACTTCTTAGCTTCAGAGAAGTACAGGATTGAGTGTACTTACTTATTCCATACTGATTCCAAAGTAGGAGGGTGACAGGAATCGTCTGAAGAGGGATGGGTTATTTTCAGTGCCAGACACAGCAGTGCATCCATGTATTACATGGCATTAGGGCTGTCAGCAAAGGGTCATGTTAGCCTCTGGCAGCTCAGATTCAGCTTCTATGTAGTGCAGGTGTCCTCCCTTTTTGCCAAGGAAGGCAAATGTTACAATAACTTGCAATATCAGGTTCCTCAAATGGGAGCTGCAATAGGAGGTTACACATATGTTATTACTCAGTGGAATATCTAGAACTGGTCTGCAAATATAAATTACTTAAGTGTCTTCAGACATTGTCACAGGTATTAAAGGTGTAGTCAGGAAAACTACTTATGGAATGGTACTAAATGTGTCCTTCCTGGTTTTTGAGTTGTATCATCTTTGTTTTCTGTTTAGTGTATTTCCCTCATGCTAATACTGCGCAGAGGCATGGCAGAATGAGATTTTGATCCAGGTCACACACCACAAGCCGAAAATGGTCTGACTGCAAAATTATTTCTTATGCTAGTGATAATGCGCAAATTGGCAAAAAGGAAGTTTGGTTTTCAAACCCTTTGGGAGAGGCACAAGATTAGCAGGTAGAAAAAAACATTTTAGCTTTATCTTATCCTTTTCAACTGAGAATATCTGCGGGGTTTGCAAACTTGAAACTGGAATTCCCATTATGCTTCTACTTGTGACAAGTGGTGTTCAGAAAAAAACTGCACTGTACCTGCTTTGACCTGGTTTACTGCCTGGGGAAGTTTTACACAGTGTCTGCCCACACTCTGTGCCTGGCTGTGATCATGGCTTTGGTCTCTCTGACTGTCCTGACTAGTGAATGTCACCAAATATGCTGCAAGCAAGATTTCTTTCAAGTGTCATAGATCTGAGTAGTTTATTTGTCTTGAATCCTCACCTCTGCTTATGTTTTCTATCTCACATGTGAAATAACCTTTCCTGCCAAGCTGCTACTTGCTCCAGCAAGCAGTGCAGTCTCAGGAGCTGCCTGAAAATACGACCTCTCTCAAAGCATCCCAAAGTCTGTTGCTGTGTTTTAAAACCTCTGCAAACACATACAGGTAGTTGAAGTTGATCCTGAAATATACTCCAAGTGTCTCTAGAACTATTTCCAGCTGTCTGACTGCAGGTGGTACAGCCTGCAGCTTGCTACAAGAACTCTTTTGGGCCTGACCAGAAATCTGTTTGACTCATTATTTGATCAATTTTGTCATGGGCATAGAGTGACAGGACATAGGGAATGGCTTCCCACAGCCAGAGAGCAGGGTTAGATGGGATATTGGGAAGGAAGTCTTCGCTATGAGGGTGCTGAGGCACTGGCACAGGTTGCCCAGAGAAGCTGTGGCAGCTCCATCCCTGGAAGCTTGGGGTTTGGAACAACCTGTTCTAGTGGAAGGTGTCCCTGCTCATGACAGGGGATGGAATGGGATGAGCTATAAGTTCCCTTCCAACCCAAACCATTCCAGGATTCTATGATGACCTAATTGTGCTTTTCCATTTCCATCATCTTGTTCTAAGAATTGAAGTTGAAGATGACCTCACTCACCACGAGGAATGAGCTGACAGCATTATACAAGAAGTAGATACTGGTCCTTATCTCTTGTGACTTTCTTGTTACTCTCCTCTTGTATGTGTCTGAGGAGGCATGCTGCAGTTTTTCTTTGAAGTCCCTCTCATCTGCTTCTATTTGACTTTCTTTTCCATATGATGTTTTCTCTTTAACGTTTCATCTTCTTACACAGGATAGAGATTTAAGTAGAGACTATAGGCTTCAGGCTGTATTCTCCTCTTCATCTCTATTCCATTTTTCCTTTGGATTAAGAAGTTAAACTCTGGAGGCCATAACGGGCCTTTTGAGATCTGTTTGATTTGTACTGGCTTACATTCCATTTAGTTTGATTGGTGCTGAATAGTTTTACCCTGTGGCACCCAGTAGTTAGTCTCCATGAAATTAATTGGGTGGTCTTGATGTTTGTAATTGCAGATAAGTGTTCCCATGTCAAAACCATCCCTGGAAGTGGAGTTTGTGTGTCAGGGACAGCTGTTGCAGTAAATGATCAGCTCAATGCAGCTACTGTATAGCCTATGGGGCACTCTGGTTAAAGTGTGCACATCTGTGGCTCACTTAGGAGGAGCATTGTATTCTTCTGCTTGTATGGACCATGTGTGGTGATAAAGAGAGTCCAGTGTTAAATCTGTAATGTCAAACAGAACAGCTACATGGTTTTTTATAACACAGAATTCTGTGGATATAGTCTCACTTGGCTGTTGAATGTGGTCAGGTGAATTAAGAATGCAGATGAAGCTAAAATAATGAATCATTACCTTTTGACAAGAAACTAGCTGAAAGATAATTCTGACAAAGCCTTCCTGAAGTCAGTAAGATAAGTCTGAGTATAAACTTCACTGAAAAGGAAAGTAGTTCTTGCTTATTGGGTCTTTCAAAATAGCCAATTAAATTCCCTCCTCTTGCTGTCATTTCCTTAGATTTCTTTGTTGTTTAGAATTACTTGAAAAAACTTATTGAAGCAGTTCTTCTGTAATTGCAGGTACTTTTTTTTTTTTTCAGCAGGTTCTGCTGTTTTGTAGATTTTGGCTAAAGAAATTTTGTGTTCACTGCCTGGGTGAGTGTGTAGATAGTTCTGGTAGGTAGATGTCTGCATATGAGCTGAGTATGTGGTACATATTCCTTCACTTGGGAATGATTTTGCTGCAAGTACTTGTCAGTACAGTATGGCTGTACAGATGTCTATGCTGTAGCAAACCAACATGAGGGCAGTGAGAGCACAGCTCAAACAGGGAAGGGAAGGGTTGTTCAGCTCCAGAATTAGCCTGTTAGTATCTTTTTTCCCCAGAGATAGGAGAAGGAAAAAGTCTTGTTTACTAATTTCTGGCTGGAGATTTGATTGTAACTTATGCCAAAATGGAAGGATCCATGTTATGTTTTCCTCATACTAATGACATTACAAATCAGCTATTTCCAAAAAATACTAGTCCCATTAAATCAGAGATGCTGTAGCTGATTCTGAGTGGGTGGGGGATGCTGGACTGGGAGGAGGTATTTGCTTGTTAACTGTCTCCAAATGAAATGCATCTTCCTATACTCTGCTCTCACAATTCTGTGCTTAATGTGATATTTAAGAGCAAAGAAGAGCCTCCCTTTAGCAAAAAACCCACTTCATAGAATGACTGTCTAGCATATCATTCCTCTGCTGTTCATAGCTAAAATCAATAATCTTTTGAGTATTTTTTCTTCTGGCATAGTGGTCAGTGCTCTTTATGTATGTTACAGTTCAAATCCTCAGTTGGATCTGCTGTTTGATGTATCATTCTTCTTCTTTCTGTACACTTGTGACTTGCAGCTACCAATGGGAGAATTTGCAGAAGCAATTAAAGCATCTCTTTCCCGGGATGTGCAGGAAAGCCCAGTGGATGTACTGGCATTAGCATGGCAGCAGCTCCTTTGCTGATGCAACTCTTGTTCATTGCTTGCTGCCCTTGTCTGGTTGAATGTAACTGAGTACTCTTCCATTAAAACAAACACGAAAATCCCTGTTAAGTGGGAATGAGCCCAGGCTGTTGAGTTTGGAACTGAACTCTTGTTTAGGATTGTTTACAAATGCATTAACAGCTCTGTGTTATCAAAATCCATACATAGCACAGACTCATAGGCTTAAGTTGTGCTTCAAACTGTTGAGTTTGGCTTATAGTTGCAGTTGCTAATCAAGCAGAAATAACATTTGAAACCAGGATTAACAGCTAGGAGCTTTGGAGCACCTACACCTCGAAGTATGTCCTACTTAGTCTGTCTCCCCACCATATCTCTCCACTCCACTGCAATGTGACAAGGCTTACAACATGCACACACAGTGTCCTTCTTGCCTTGTTACAGCTTCTGTCAACTCAGGCTTCATGTCCCTGCTCTGTCCCCCAGACCTGGACTCTGGGGCCATGCTCAGAGTGCCTCAGGGATTTGAAGATACCTGCATGTGTCTAAGACAGTGGTGGCAGAGACAGTTTTCTCCACTGTGAGCAGCAGCCTAGCTCCAAGAGTTCTCTCTCCAAGCTCCTCCTCTCCCCCTGCCCCAGTCCCTGATTCTGGTAATTCAGTCAGTTAGTCTTACACCGCTCAGAGTGCAAGCGGTGGTTGCAAAACTGATCAGTTTACAGCCTTGGCCCTGGCCAGGATAGCATTTCTGCTCAGGGCGTATCTTGGGTGTCTCAGGATAGCTCTATCACATGGCTTGGCATCTGATCTGAAGTGTGGGAGACCCAAGGTGTAAGTCCTTGCTTTGTCTGACATAGAGGAGGTCATGGGACATCAGTTTCTTACATCCTCATCAGTGTGTGCATTAAGTGTTCAGTTGTTCTCTTTCGTCCTTTCATGCAAGGTATATTTGCCTTCTGTAACTTAGAAAAAGGCACACAGATAGCTCTCGGTTTCAGATTGCCTGGGAGATTCAAATCCCAGGCTGAATTGGGAAAAGCAAATGGTTCTTCAGGGATTTTCCTACTTCTTTCTGATTTTCAGACGAGTTAGATTTTGAGCTGATGCAGAACTTTAGTGCTCACTCACATCAGCTTTTGTTTTTGCACTAAATGATACAACATTTTTCTACTTCCATCTACCCTTCTTGGTTTTAATATGGATTTCTGACATATCAGTTTGGGATGATTTTTGAATTTGTGGGGTTTGGCTGATAAGTAGCCATGAAATTCAGACTAAAACCCTGTGTTAAATCAGATGCTGCTTCTCGCCCAAATGTAGTCAATCCTGCGGCCAACAGGGATCTGACAGGAAAGCTGTCTTTAGTGGCATTTAAGATAATTTGATTTATAGGCAATCTGTATTAACAATAACAAAAGTCAGGATATCTTTGGTATTTATACATATTGTACTTCTGGTGGAAAAAATGCATTTTCACAGCCATTAAATATCTGCAGATCACTTTATCTTACAAGATAAAGATAATATACTGATAATACAGTAAGGGCAGAAATTGAAAGTTTCCTGTGCAAGAAGAGACTACATCAAAATCAGTGAAATCTGGATTTAAAACTCTTTCAGCTTTCCTAAGGAGAACGTGGGTCTAGTCATCTCCAAAAAATTCTGTTGAATGCTGGAGCTTGAAGTTCTCTTCTCCACTGCAAGTTCTGCCTCTGTGTGTATTTTCATTCCAACTAAAAAGTGTACAAACACAAAGTTGTTCAGTAAAGCTTCATGGTAATCTTCTGACTTGCCAAGGAATAAATGGGCAATGGAGGCTCTGTATCCATTCCCTGATTCCTCATTCTCCAGAATCTTTCTGGTCTAAGAAGATGAGAAGACATTGGACTTCAACATTCTTGAACTCTTTGTCCCCAAGTGTTTGAACAAGCCAAAGCAATCAGAGAGAGGATGAAGAAAGGGCTTCCATAAGTACCCCTGGAAAACAGAAGGATTGGATAAGTTCCCTTACAAGTGAGTCTGGAGGGTGAGTCGCAGGATGTGAATACACCATTGGGAACATTCCCAGGTCTTTTCCACAATCCTTTTAATGTGGTCACAGAATCCTGTCTGTGAGTGAAAATAAATGAGAATTAACTCCAGGGAGTGTAGAAAACTCGGAGGCTTGAAATTTGGTTGGGAAAATCGTCGGAGCATGCAGTGTTTTTTTTGTCTTAACTGATGAGTGCTGACACGGCATCAAGATGGCAAAGAATGAATCATTTGGATGTTCATGGAACAATGTATTTTAGTGTCACTGACCTGTGGCTTTGGGAGTTCTTGAAGTAACAGAATAAGGATCAAAAAAGTATCTTTGATGGAACAGATTTGTTTGAAAAGGACAGTTACCCTGACTCCAGTTTCTTTTCTGATTAACAGTAGGAGCTAAAGAAGCCCAGAGACAGCTGCTTCTTGAATCCTGTTGCATCTTGAAGGCTGTCGGGTGTGTAATGGTACATAATGGCTTTTAGTATCAAAGTAATCAGGCTGAAGACTTCTGTACAAATCTGTGGAGCACCTTTGCATTCACATGTGACATGGAATTTGATGTGAGTGGCAGCCATGTATGCCTGGGAGCTAAGCTAAACCTTAGTGGTCAGGAACAGACATCCAAAGGTTGTGCAATTTATGTTAAAAAGTTGTCATCAGTATATTTCTCTTTTGAACTCAATAGAAACCCAGTAAGTTTTAGAATTTTTTGAAGAACTAATCTCAGAGTTAAGACAGATTCTTGCATGATCCAAAACTAAATAAAAATTTGCTTTTTTTGTGCTTATGCAGTTGCACCTTAGTCTCTGGAATTTGTAGATTCCTTTTTCAGTAATTTTCTGGACTTCTAAGAGTTTGATTTGCTATCACATAGTATCTGAATTAACTTACAGATTCCTAGAATGATTTGGGTTGGAATGGACATTAAAGATCATCTCATCCATGGCAGGGAACAAATATTCAATTTGAAATGGTTAATTTTAGAAAGCAGAGTGTTCTCCAAGCAAATGGCTTTCTGAGAAGGTTGTATGTTGCCCTTGAGACTGCTCTGACGTGAAGCAGCTGATGGAGAACTGAGAGAGCTCATGTTATTGATCTGAAACTTGTGACTCCATGAACTCTTCATGGGAAACTTCTCTTCTGATCTGTCTGTGGTGAGGAAAGGCTCAGTTCTTCAGGCAGTAAGTCAGTGAGTTGAGCACACTACATGATCAGAGTATTTGCTTTGAAAAAATTGCCATTTTTACCTAAATATCAAGGAGTTTTATTGCATTAAATTAAGGACATGATCATGCCTGACCTCTAATATCTTCATTTCCAAACATCTTTTCATTAGAACTTGCAAGAATCGTGGGAGAAGGCAGGATACTTCTTTGATCTTCCAGATTTCTTATCCTGGAAAGCCACAGGTGTCACTGCAAGGTATGTTAATTGTAACAATATGATTTGGTTGTCATTGTTTCTTTCCTTATATATGTTTCTGCTTTAATTCCTTTTGACTGGACACACTGTTCTGTACATCTGTCTGTAATTCAGCCTTCCCCAAAACATCTTGAACCTATCTCCTGCCTCCACTGTGCATTCCTGAGCACAGTTGTTCCTGTGAGCAGTGTAAATGTTGCTACAAATGTCAGTTAGTTGGTCTTGTGCTCCATTTTGAAACATCAATGTGATTGCTCTAGTTCCTGTGAAATACAGTGCTAAGAAGTCTTTGAAATCTGGTTTTTTTGACAAATTTAGTGACCTTTTTTTTTTGAGAACTGGAAGTTAATATTTGTTTGCCATGTGGGAGGGATCTGGTAAAATCTTGTTTAAAATGGTCACTTCGCTGTAAAACACTTACTGCTTCCCAAAAGCATCCTGGAGTACTTGCTGAGCAGTTGAACAAAACCCTCTGAGAGAGCCCCTTAAAGTAAGCAGCACAAGTGAAACATGTTTGCAGATAACCAAGTCCTTGTGAAAAGTGGGAGACAGTATTATTTCTTTAAAACAAAGTCTTCTCAACCAATTACATGCCCAGTCCAGTGTGGGTCACACTTATTTCCATTGCAGTTTGTGGATCTGAATCTGTGTAAAATGTAGTCTCCAATGAAAACTGGTCACAGGATAGTTTTAGTCTCTCTGGGGATGAAGGTACCTTCACATCAGACGTGGTTCTTTTTATTTGAGAGCTCTTTCCCCCAGTTAGTCTCCATGATTGACATCTGTCATTATAACAGTATATATTATCTATTCCCTGCATTATGGAGCAGGGAAGTGCTGTGTTTGACTGAAGAAGGCAGAAAGTTGAGTTGTGCAGGGGCTTGCTAGCTGATAATTGAAAGACAGTGTCTCAAATCCTCTTCCTTTGGGCTTCAGCCAGATTCTGCTGTATCACCATGAATTATGCAACAGGAGAACTCCCACCCACAGGTCTTGCCATCATGTCACCTCACCTGGCTCTAAAGTCAAGAGGATAAATCCCAGATGATAAACTATGAAGGGTCTCCATCTGGTGAAAGGACTCAAGACTTGGATTTAGCATTAGCAACGCTTGGCCAGGGCACTAGATGGAGAATGGGCTGAACAGGGAGTGTATAGTGATACTGACAGCTCCTTGCTCTTGCCTGGCTCTTGGCTGCAACTTCCTGGAGGTGAGACAGAGAATCTCTTAAGAAAATAAACTTGCAGAAGATCATACTCAAAGGTTTACCTGGCAAGTGCATTTCCTTGGAAATGGCAATTTGATTATTCAAAAACTTGGATTGTATTGATGAATGTTGTAAGGGAGAAAGGAGTGTTAAGAAAAGACCTTCTGGACAAAGTCTTCCCCCACCCTTTGGGTGAGAAGCTTCTACTTCGGATAAAATAGTACCTTATAATCCTCCTTTACTGCCTTAGTGTGCTTCCCAAAATGAAGCCCATTGTTTTGGCCTGAGTGGAGTGTCTTATAGGGTAGGAAAGGAGGAAGAGAAAGACAGGAAAATAAGGACAAGAAATGTTTTGCTGCAATCAAACCTGATTTGTTTTCCCTTTCTCTGCTTTCCCCCATGCACACCTGTTCTTTGGGAACTTCCTCTTAGTTTGGTGCAGTAACTTGTCCTGTATATGCTCATAATACAAGGGAAGTGTGAACTTACTAAGTCTAAGATTCTTACCACCTTTTCTCCCTTGGAGCACAAGGGAGTCTATTCACAGGACAAGACAGTGTTAGTCACTGTGAATCATGCAGAACCTGGCCCTGATAGAAGAAAGATTTATTTTCTTTTGCATTTGTTTTGGTGATGGGGATTTTACCAAAATAAATGCAATTCCAAGGGCACTTTTGATAGAAAAGGCAATGCTTCTTTACACTTTTAAGGGGCTCTAAAACCTTTTTTTATGCACTTACCATTTAAAAACTGTCTACAGTCTTTTTGCCTTCAGTGAGATTACTTGATGCACGAAGTAGAATTGTCAAGGCTGGAGATCTCTAAGATCACCAAGTTCAGCCATTAACCTGCAACTGTAGTAGTGTGTGAGATCAGAATTTGACATATTTGAAAAGAAGTTCTTGATGTTTTTGAGTATGAAATCATTTGTCTTCCACCTTCAATTCTGCTGGTTTGAACAGCCTCAGTACCAAGTGGATGTATAATAAACAGGAAATGTTCCACGGTGGAGACTCAAACATATTCTGACATGGTTTACCTACTGGCCTGAAATTGCTCTGTATCTCACCAAACAACATCCATTCATCAGTTGCAAAGGATAAGTCCCAAATCCTTAATTCCCATTGTCCTTGGAAGATTGTTGCCTGCAATACTCCATATTGAAAAGAGTTATTTTTTATTGCTTCTCCTTTGGGTCGTTGATAGGCCATTGAGTTGTTGAGTACTGGCAGCTGACTATTCTGCATTGAAAAAATGTTACTGACAGCTCTTTAGTTGAAAGACTTTGAAACTTTATAACTTCTCAGCTTGTCCCACCCGCCCCCCCAGTTGCAACAATGTGTACTGGTTTTGCCACTTGGATACTCGGTTGTCTTCTTTCAGAAATGCTGTGGTAGAAAGGAGCTGTTGTGTCACAGACACGTTTGCAATACTTTCTTGAAGCTCAGCACTTTTGAGTGTGACTCACTGTTCTCCCTCCCACCAACTATAACCTCTGATAGCTTTTCCTTTATATGGTATTTTGGATAAAGCTATCTTAATACAACCTAAACACCTCTCTGGTTACAGGCTACTATCTTATGGATGGAGAATTCTCATCAAAGATGCACATCTGTAGCTTCAGTGTATTTCTGAAGTCTCTTGAAGGATTATATTGAAGATAAGAATATATCTGAGCTGTTGAACTGGATAGAATTCACACACAAATCTCTCAAAGGTTATGTGTATTTAGGTCCAGCATTTTGCTTCAGGGCCACTTCCAGTCATCAGCAACTCACTGGAAAATGAGCCAGTCTCTACTGGATTTAAGATGAGCTGTAACTCAAGAGACATCAAACCTATGAAGGAGGATTTTGGAATGCCAGGCTGACATTACTGAGATAGAGAGTGTCCAACATCATGGTACAAGCCACCTCCTAGGACTACCAGACAGAGTTGGAATGAACTGAATATAAGTGCAGAATATTTTTTCATATTATTATACTTTAGGTATGTTAATATTTGGGGAAAGTAATGTGTTCCCTAATAGAGACTTCATCTCATAGAGGAATGTTGACCCAAATAATTTTCCTGTGGAAATACTTGTGCAGTCAGTGTTCAGCTGCTAGGAGTCATGACAGGGAAAAGGGTGTAACAGATGTTTCATATACTTTGGGGAGAACTTTTCTAAATGTTCTCCTTCCAGCAGATCTCAGGATCGTGCGTTTCTCCAGAGAAAATCGGTTTTATAAGGAAGAAATTCATACTGTTATGGTAGTTACAGACTGCAAAGGGAAAAGCACATGCTTGTAGTTGATAAAAAGCATTTCTGGGAAGCACATAACTAATACTAGTCAGTATCTCTGTGTGAGAGAGATATCTGTTTAATATACAGGATATTTTCAACAGGAAGATATCTTGACAAATTGTTTTCTTTCATCTATGAGTTTCTTGGCTTTTGCATGTTTAACTAGCTGACTCTTTATGTTAAGCAGTGATTAAGTCTTTAAAGTTTATTTGTAACCTCTTTCCAATTGCTTATCATTGGGGTTTGAGATGTCTCCGTTGCACTGATTGAAATCCAGAGAACTCCTCAGATGTTATCAGGGTTGATGCAGAGTCCACTGGGATGAACAGGAGTAGAGCCTGGTCCCTTGCTGAAGGGCAGTGATGGGAGTCTGTAATAAAACATTAACACTAGGAAGGTGCTTTTGAATCCAAAAACCTCGATTCGGGTCTCTGCTCTGTTTTGTCCTCTGTGTGATTTGGAGAAGTGAATTAAATCTACATCTTTGAAGGTGTTCAGGAGTCTGCTGAATACCTTTGAGGATTTGATTCTTGCTCATCCCTGTTTTTATTCCTCATTTGTTAATTTGATACATACACACACATGTAGGAGGTTGCTTACTTTTACTGCTGGGAGGTATTTCATGGCTGTGTTAATGGAGTCCTCACCAAATATTTAATCCAGATAGGCTGGAAACTTTGAAAAGGGAGAGAGACTTTGGAAGAGGAGCTTATGTTTAGAGGTACTGCCGTAAAAACAAACTGGTGTGATTTAAATGATTATCTGGAGGATGTCTGTGTCTTTTTAAAGGATTGGGAAATGCTTTTGGTGAGATGTGGTAACTAGAGCAGCCCAGATACCAGTTTTTTGGGGCCAGCTGCCCTTCCCTTCCTTCCTAGCCTTGCCGTGACTAATGGATACCCTTTTGGCTGGGATCTGGCCTTTGGCTTCTTGTTTATATTTAGTGCCTACTTCAAAAGATGCCTGGTCTTAAACTTAGGCCTCTGTGGAAAGAAAGGGGCTAGGGAATATTTCAGAGAGCTGCTGTGATTAGTACTGTAGCCCATGTGGCACTGACAGTATCCTGAGTTGCACTCGGGGTTTGTGTCCTGTTTATGAAATGAAACCCAAGACTTCAGGCTTGCAGACTTGTTTGGAGAAGTCTCTGGAGAAGGGAGAATTATCTTGAAGGGTTGCTTGGGAGGGGAGGGCTGGTGTTTTTGTGGATTGGACAAAATACCATGAATTTGTCCTGGAGCCAAAAGCAAGTGTCCCTGTGATGGTATCTGTGCCAAGTGAGAGAATTCGACTGCTATCAGGCTTGTAATGAATTCAAAACATGTTCTTTGCAGACTGGTGACACACAGACTGATCCAGTGTAAGAAAATAGGAAGTGTTGCTGGAAAAGTTATCAAGACTGTGAAGGGCAGGTGCAATGTGGCCATTACTGTTAGTTTGGTTTTTATTTTTGCTTTAAAAATGGCATGTCCTTGAGTCTGCAGAGGAATCTGAGAGAATTCTGTGTG